ATATCGTTGGAACATCAACGACTTTAGATTTTTTTATTTATTAAATAATTCCAATATTCTTTTGACAAAAGTATTGTTTGTTTTTTAAATCCGAATACTTTTAATTTTAGAACAAGAAAGATTTTTTGGTTTTCAATTTTCAATTTTTTAATTTCAATTTTGGTTTTCAGTTTTTATTCTTCCGTTTGAATTTTTATTTCGCAATATTTGACGCTGAAACCACTGTGGTATTTGAAAGCTGATATTTTGAATTAATAACCGACGCAAATGGTTAGAGCATAAAAAAATTTCTAAAATTTAGAATTTTAAATAAAGAATTTTAAACTTATTAAAATATCCAAATATGCTCCTAAGAAGGACCGAATATTTTTAAAATATCCAAAAGAAAAAAAATTTATTATGTTAGTAATATTTTTAATTTTAGATAATTGAGTTTCAAAAATTTTTATGTCTATTATTAATTTCTTCGATTCAAATTAATTTGCGATAAAAAAAATACGGAATAACTTGAGTAAACAATAGTATTTAACAAAATTTGAGAGTAATCGGTCAAATAGTTCCTGAGAAACTACCAACAAATACGATTTGTTAGAGGTCAAAAATCCAAATTCATCGTAAAAAAGGTATGTTTATTCAGAGAAAGTACTTTTTTGTGACTGATCTCTTAAATTAAATTTTTGTCTGCACTAATTAATTAGCATATTTGAGGTCAACTTTTCAAACCCTTTAGATTGAGTCCTAGAACGAACATTAGATCAAAAGTTATTCAGTATGGTCAGTTTCTTATTTCGCGCACTGTACTTCTCCTTATGGTATTTCGCATTTATAATGGACAAGATAGCGTTCGGACCAGGTGAAGGGAAAAAAATAATTTGGACAATACTTTCAAAGTTTTGAGGTGAACCGGGTTCGAATCACAGCGATGGTTGGTCAATACGAATTCCGCAAGCGGCATCCACCGACCATAGTGTTGACGTAAAATATCCTCAGTGGTATACGAATCACAGTGGTTAAAGTACCCTTGCACACAAGGCTATCCATGGGAGGTTTTCGTGGCATTCCTCTCCATGTAACGCAAATGCGGGTTAGTTCAAAAAGTCCTCCACGAAGGCAAATTTCTCCCAATACTTGATCCAGGAGTTCCCCTGTCTTCTTGATTGGGTTCAAAATTACAAGGCTACGGAGTTGAACATTAGAAGTCGTAAACCCAAAAAAAATTGGTTTGGTTGTTCAACAACGGTTATAATATAAAATTATTAACTACTTTTAAGGAGTATTTCCTAAATACCTAATTCTTATTACTATACTTTTATTCTAAATAATTTAAAATAAGCAGCTCGCATTTTCACAAATGAATGCAAATATCATTAAACTGTGATATAACAAAAAATAATTATGCTAAATAAGCATCGTTTATAGGTTTCAGTGACCTAGTTTTTATATCATAAAACAGTGAATTGTATTTAAATATTCATAATAATGAGAAAGCTGAACAAACAAAAATAGAATAAAAAAATAGCCTGAGAAATTAAACATTCCTTTCCTGTACTGAAAATAATAGCCCATTAATGTAGAACTAGTGCAATGGTAACAAAACAAACCAATACTGAATATATAGTTTTTCTAAAACAAAACACAGCACTTACAAATGCACTTACATAGCACTTAGTAGCAAATTGATGAATCTTTAATGTTATGCCATTATGTAGATTTTTAACATTTGATTCAAATAGTCAAAGCTAAGCGTAATATTTTATAAATAAATGTATTCGAAAAAAAATTAAAAAATTAAAAATCAGTTTACATTTAGAAGTCAGATAAGAAAAATTTTGAAACTACGATTTGTTTCAATTTTAAAAACAATAACAAATGAATTTAAAAAATCTGAATCAGTAAAAATTTTAAATAATGCCTTATTCGTGCAATCCACAATACTGAGTTATGTATTAATATGTCCCAATACATATGCTTAACAAAAGTATATGCTTTTACAAAAGATATATGCTTCCAGCATTTTGAAATGTTACTATATAATATTCAATCCAAATTTTTTTTGCCTTATACCATTATAAACAATAAAAAATTATGTTAATTTGTGTGACAATACAATGTTTTTCCGCCATTTTGTCTCAAAGCGCAAACTTGGCGACGATTTCTAACATTTGGCGACGTCACTCCATCATACAGTTCCTGAGGCACCCATTTTATTAAATGTTAGAAACAATAATATAATTTATAAAACGAAATCTAATTATGCAAACATAAGTGACAATGCGAAATACAGTGTTTCTACATCAGTAAGTCACAAAACGCACAACACACGGCAGTTTTTGATATTTTCAGATGCCTATTAATCATACTACATCCAATTACTGTGACTACATCTAATCGTTTAATATAAATTTATGCAAACAACATTTCAGCTTCATTGCAACAAAATATTTATCATAACTTCATTAAAATAATAAGTAACTGTGAGTTGGCACTTTATCGAATTGTTCACTGAAAACTTTTTAATGTAGCTGTATTATAATATTTAATATATCTAAACCAAAGTATTTCATACCACTACTAAAAATGATAAATATCACTGCCATACAAAAAATATTTCTTGCGTCTTCAAAATATTTCACGTTGCTAATAAGAAAACAATTCTAAATTAGTAAAATGTGTTACGATGTTAACAGAATTAATCATTAATGCAATATATGCGGGTATTTTTTTTTATTTAATTTATTTTTCTTCATTTTATTTTTTTTATTATTATTTCTTTATTTTTTGAAATTTTTTCAACTTGAAATTCTTGAAAATCGTGATATAATGTGTATTCAAACATTAACTGCTTGTTGTAATAATTGTTATAATAATTGCTTAATTGCTTGTTGTTGTTGATTAGAAACAATATTTGTCACAGCTAATTTCATAAATACGAATATTTAACTGATATTGATAATTGTTAATTTGTAACCATATTTATCCCTGCTAATTTTATAAACACGAATATTGAATTGATAATGATAACTGTTGGTTTGAAACACTACCTTTGCTGATTTAAAAATATTTTTTTTCGCCTTTTGCGCTTAAATTTAGTTTTAAAATATTTTCATACTATAAAATTCTGTACTTGATGCATGTCGTTTTAAAACAATAAATTTATTTGATTTAAAATAGTTGGTATTTTAAAACAATCTTTCAATTTTTGTTTTGTAGCTAAGCATATAACTTTCGATTTGTGATAATTATGTTTCTTTTGAATATCTTTTTAAGCATTTTAATAAAAACAAAAGTTTCTTTTGAATTTATTTTTCTTGCCTACCATTATCAAAATTATGTATCATCAATAATAAAAAACCATATCTAAAAACTTGATATAGAACTTGACATATTACTACCTTGATGTACTTTAATGATAAAATTCTTTCATTTAAACATTTTAGAACACATAATAAATTATTGTTAGCACAAAAGATGAATAGGTAATATAAAATCAAGAAATCTTACTATATTAAACATGGCTTATGTTTAATTTTAAGAAATATCAAAGAAATAATAAAATGTGAAAAGAATAATAGTGCAAAAAAAGTTGTAAATACAGTACACAAGAGACAGCTCTCAATTAAACCGAGTGAAATAAGTTGAAAAAGGCTTTTAGAAAAGAATGACAAGTTAAATTTCAACCAAAAACAAAATACAAGGTCCTGATTCTATCTCGATCAGTTTGAAGGTTTGATTATTTAAGCATGCAGCAATGTTTCTTTTCTTAGTTCAGTTGATAGACATTTGAATAAAACAATGATGATTTAAACAATGTCTAACAATATAAGAATGTTGTGAAAGATGAAATTTTTTATTAATGTAAAAAAGTATTAATAAAAAATAAAGTTTTTATGGTTACAGGGCGATAATTTAGCTGAAAATATGAAAGAAAATATTTAAAAAAATTAAGAATTACTAGGTGATATCAAGAAAATCATTTTTTACTTCAAAAGAAAATGATTTATAGTTTCTATAATTTTTTGGCTGTATCATAGGTAGGCTGTTTTATAATTTAAGAATGCACCCTGTGAATGAAGTTTAAAAATATTTCTCAAATTCTTTTGATTAATGTAAAAGAGTATTAATAAAAAGCAAAATTTTTATGAATGCAGTTGAAACTTTGTGTGAAAATATAAGAAAAATAAGAATTACTAGTTAATATTAAGAAAACCAGCTTTTAATTTAAAAAAAAATATTTACAGTTTTTATATTTTTTTGAACATATCACAGTTAGGCTGTTTTATAGTTTAAGAAAATACCCTGTGAATGAATTTTAAAAATATTTCCCTCATTTTTTCAATCATAAAAATGTAAACAAAAAATATAAATATAAATAAAAAATATAAATTAAAAATATAAATAAAAAATATAAATGTGAAACATAAATTAAAAATATAAATAAAAAGCATAAATATCAAATTTTCTTTAATATAAAATGTAGGAAAAAAATTATTAATTGAATATTGTGATGCCATTTGTGATGCCATTGATGATATGCTTCTTGTCCCATTAATCATCTCTTATAATTTCATTTAATAAAGTATAAAATATCATTTTTTCATATGTATTCGAAAAATAAAGAAATTCTAATATTTTTCAACCTTTTACTTCACAATTTATTTCGAACCATTTTTTTTTCTTTACTATTTACAATATACTGTTAAAAATAGCTTTTTCATATTCGATTTTTGTGCACTCTACTAAAATTAGACAATCAAAATAAAACTATTTTCAGAAATGACTATTAAAATTTTAAAACAGCCGAAAGCAAAATTTTACTCATAAAGATTTGTTATTCGTGATGTTAAAAGAATTGAGTTGATCTGACTATTTGCGCAACAGTTTTAAGAATTTAAATGCGCATTGAATATATTTAAGAAGCTTTTAAATAAATTGATTCCTTAAATAACAATACAAATAATTAAGTGAAAGAGCCAAAGTAATTTCATTTTATATTTACATACCTTTTTTAACAAAACAGCTTAAGATCTTTCGTAAATCTGTAATTAGGGCAATCATCTTGTTCAAATCCCGTGACAATCCCAATAAAGTATTCGACGAGCAGCGAGCGCACAAATGAAGATGCAATTTTCATACTCAAGGAATATCTAATATTTTTGTTGAAATATTGGTATGGCAGATGTTTTCTTCTTTTAGGGAAAAACTAATACCGTAGGGAAAATATTAGGGCTAAAAACTTAAAGTGCGCTTCCTTTTATTGATGTTTCATTTCAGTGATTTATAACAACTACAATTTCTAACCATGCGTGAAGTAACATAAACCTCTATTTTTTTTTAAAAAATAAGCATTAATCAATCGATATTTAAGAGTTTCGTAATCTTTTAAAGAATAATAACTGTTAATCTTTTTTTATACGTAAATTCTACCAATAATTCTAATTATCGAACGTAATATTCTGAAGAATTATTTTCAAACTTTCAAAAAATTGACAAAATTGCATGATTCAATTGTTTCCAAAATTATGAGAAACAGTAACATCTAGATTATCAAATACGAGTAGATGTGTTTTATCTCTTAATTTTGAGAGAAAACTTCAAAACTCGCAATTCAAAGGCTATTGACCTTTGAAAAAAAGTTTTTAACAATCACATATGCAAATCAATTCAACGAGACATTAAACTTCATGACAAAACTATCCGTTACCATAGAGATTTCTAAATAATGAAAAACTAAAATAAAAGTTTGAAGGAACAAAGCATTAAAGGGAATAAATCAACCCTATAGATTATCAAATGAAGACATTTTTAAAGCCGTAATCTTAAGAAATTACTTTATTTATTTTTTTATTTTTTTTCATTTTTTTATTCTTTCGTGATAAAAGCTAGCAATATATTTGTATTTTTAAAATATATATTTAGAAAATCGTAGTTATTTTGGTAGTTTATAAATTAATTTAATTACTTTTTATCTTTAATAATAGATAGTTATTGCAGTTCATTTACGTCGCACTAGAGCTTCACAATAGGCTATTGGCGACTGTCTGGGAAACATCCCTGCGAATGATCCGAAGGCATACCATCACAATTTTGATCCTCTGCAGAAGGGATGGCTCCCCTGCTTTGGTAGCCTGACGACCTGCACGCGAAGTCGAGCACTTAACAGTTTAACGAGGACCAATACCGCACACCCTCGGTCCCTACGCAGACTGATCCTAGTGGTCACCCACCCGCACACTGACCGCAGCCAGTGATGCTTGACTTCGGTGATCTGGCGGGAAGTGTGTCTTAACGATCAGTCCACTACGGGACAGTTGATAAAAGATAGATCAATAAGTTTAGTCTTCCTAGTTCGATTGTTGTTGTTGTTAATTTACGTCGCACTAGAGCTGCACAATGGGCTATTGGCGACGGTCTGGGAAACATCCCGGAGGATGATCCGAAGACATGCCATCACAATTTTGATCCTCTGCGGAGGGGATGGCACCCCCACGTCGGTAGCCCGACGACCTGCGCGCGAAGTCGAGCACTCTTCCTAATTCGAAGTGATCATAACATCCACATCAGACAAATAATGAGAAAAATCCTTATTGTCACCAGACTATGCCACAGTGGCTTTTGTCTACGTATAACAAAAAATGCTAATTAATGTCATGTATAACGCAAATGCGGATTAATGCTATATATAACGTAAATGCTAATTATTGCTAAAATTAACGCATATACGGATTAATGCTATATATAACGTAAAGGCAAATTAATGCTAAAATTCACGCAAATGCGGATTAATACTATATATAACGTAAATGCGAATTAATGCTAAAATTAACGCAAATGCGGATTAATGCTTTATATAACGTAAATGCGAATTAATGCTAAAAGTAACGCAAATGCGGATTTATGCCATATATAACGTAAATGCGAATTAATGCTAAAATTAACGCAAATGCGGATTAATGCTATATATGTAACGTAAATGAGAATTAGTGCTACAATTAACACAAATGCGGATTAATGCATATCGAGCAAATGCGGGTAACTTAAAAAACTACTCAAAACATACAAATTTCGCCTGATGTTCGATTCGTGTCTTCTAGTTTGAGTTCAAAGTTACAAAGGTGATGAAAATCACTTGAATCAAGCAGAGGATTAAGCTCTCGCCTCCTAGTGGGTAATCCAGGTTCGAAACCCAGCTATAGTCGGTCAAATTGTTTGCTGCTTCTAGCTTTCACTAACCGCAGTTCTGATGGAATTTATGACAGTATTGGTGAATAATTAAAATTATCCTTGTGACTCTATTATAACTTGATGAAAAATGCTGATGATCCAGTAGTATCCTCTGCGGGTTAGATTCTGGGGGTTAGATGCGGGGGATCATGGGTTAGATTCGGGCTAAACCTGGAAGGTATGCGTGGTTTCAATCGCCAACATCGCAACTTCATGTTATATTCTTTCAAGACCTCCAGGAAAGGTTTTTATCCCCATGCTAAATTTGGTTGCTTCCTTGTATGATTAGAAAAATAAAAATATGAAGTTATACATTTATATAGCTGCAAACCTCACCTGGCTCAGCTGCTTAACGACAGTTATAAAAAGAAATTAAATTGATGTAAAGGAACATTATTACGTCGCATTAACTACCGGAATAGGTTTTTCACATACAATAGAAAAATAAAATAGTTTTATATTTTTTTTCAAAGCTTGCATAATTAAGTAGACACTGTTTTTGCATCAAATGTTCATTTTATTTTCTGAGAGAAAAAAAATATTGTCAAAACTACCAGAGTATGCTCAGATTTTTCGTGTATCTGGATCCCTGGGAACACCAAAAAGCTTTTTAAAGTAATTTTTAATGAAGCGCTTTGGTATTGATTTTGGTAAAGTCAGCAGTAAAACATTGCTTTATGATATATGTTAAAATGTGTAATGTGTTGAAAATTGGTAATTTTATTGTGACACCTCCCTGCATAGAAAACCATTTATTCTGTGCAATTTATTTTCAGTTTAGCATTTTTACTAATTGTGCGATAATAAGAACAATAATTTTGAAAACCAGTAAACAGTTAGCAGATATAAACGGAAAAATTAGAAAAAGAATTTTTTAAATAACGTATAATTTATATTTTGGGTTTCATTACCAGATCTATGGGTTTTTTTAAACAGAAATGTCATTATCACATCAGTAATATTATCAGACTGTTTTTCTTTCCTTGTTGAGTAGACAGCGAAACTATTTCTGCAAAATATTACTTAATCACTAAATTTAACAAATATGCTTTTGAAAGTTTTATTTTCATGGTTAAAAAGAGAAAATCAATTGAACTGCACTAAACTGTAAAAAATTTTGACCATTTTGGAAAAAATTTGGAAATTTTGTTATTTTTAACTCGTGTCTGATCTTATATACCATAATTTCTTAAATAATATAAACTAAATCACTGTAATTTATGACATCAAGTCTAATTGTTATTAAGTAATAAACATTACTCTAAAACTATAGTAAAAATGCATTTTATGATAAAATTAATTTTATGGATGCTGCCCTCAGGGTGACAGTACTTTTCACCGGAATTTTTACAGAGTGTAAAGACTAAAAATGACTTAAGAGACAAAAAAAAGAAACATTTTCTAATTTTCTAAGTTTTTTATGAACAGCTTAGAATTAACTTTTTTTTGTTGTAAAAAACATAATCAATAACATTTATTGCCTAAACAAACCAATCTGACCTAGTTGAAATGATCAAATGGATATTCTAGAAGAATTTTCTTCCCAAAAAGTTGAGTGGGAGTAGTGAAAACAAAACATCCAACCTAAATATAGCGATTAAGAATAGTACTTTGAAACTGTATCTATAAATAAACTACATAAAACATCATAATAATAAATACTCAAAATTAAATTTTACTTACAAAGAAACAGACAAGCAGAACTATTTTTGTGTGTAAAAAAAATTTAATCTGCGTTGAAAAGAAACGTTCATAAAGTTTTCAGAAAGTGAAATTTGTTTAAAACATTAATTTTTACTCAGTTCGTAAAAGCAATATTTTATCAACAAATACAACTTTATGAAAATATTTTTGTGTCACATATCCAGTTAGCACAATTATATGGTTCGTTATCATCACGATATCAGGCACTAGCCCCGGAAAACTCAGCTATAACAAATTCTTCAAAGTTTAAATAAAGAGATATTACTTTAGTAGTTAACTACATTCTAACTATTTATCTTGATTTTATTCTGATTTTGATTTTTAACTTTCATCAAATATATTTTTTGTTTCCCAATTTATAATAAAAAATCAACAATTTGTAACAACAAAAAATGCTTCAGAAAGCGACGCTTTAAACTATGTTTGATTTCTTGAGACTGTATTTAAATCGAATATTTCGAATCATTTTTAGTGCCATCGATATTGAATCATTTTTTAATGCTTTTTGTTTTTAAAGACTTGGATTTATTTGCGCCATAAGTATTTCAGTTAATTCGCAAAATAATTATCTGCATTTATGTGCATTGTGAATATTTATGAGTATTTAAATTTTATTTATTTATTATGCGTATTAAAATTTATTTTAATTTCCTCTGCACTTCATTACATTGTAATCGCATTGTTCAACAGAAAATTAATTTTTATATTCATCATTTTATTTATTTTTATATTTGCATATTTTTGAATGCTTATTAGTGTACATGATTGGGATAATATCCGATGGTTTATTAATTTAATCATAGTTAAAACATAAACATTATCTTAACTTTAATAACTATTAAAAAATATTATTGCAAAAAATTACGAAACAGAAGTTACGAAATATACGAAAATTTACTTAGTTTGACGAAATTGTAACATCAGAATCGTTGCGAAGAAACATTTCATCAAATTAAGGAAACTATTATCTTCTATACAAATTCCGTCGAAGGCTATAGAACAAATGCAGCCAATAATTTAAAACAACGAAAATACAGCATAAAATTAAAATTGTGTAGACACCCAGTCATTGCTAGAAATTAAATCTGAGAAGATTGCTTCGCTAGTGAGATTTTAGCCTCTGTACCATCCTGTCATAAAGACATTTTTTTTAAATTAGTTTAAATATTGCTAGAGAGTTCCCTGAATGGACTCGCAAAACATACTAGTAAAGAAGTAGTTCCCTTAAAAATGAGGAAATGAATTCATAAGGAAAACAGTTTATAAAAAAATAATTCTCAAAATTAGTGAAACGTCAACAATTAAGGTTTATTTGTGAGGGTAATTATTTATTCAATAACATTCGTTTTTCATTTAAAAATACGAAATCAATTACTTATTTTTTAATTTTTCTTTGAGTAACATTAACGTTTTAATAGTAAAAAGACTTTCAAAAAATACGTTTTTGCACTGTTAAAAATTTCAGATCCAATTAAGTACCAGCACTTCGGATGTAACACCCGTAAACTTCATTTTGTCGTGAAATCCATTTTTACCGTAAAATATTTTACTTTAATTTTTACACTTATGTTCATTTAATTCGAGTAATTTTACGGTAACTATTACTGGAAAAGTTACTGTATATCAGATTTATTCTTCCATAAAATGGAATATACTGAATAGAACCGAAACTGTGAGTGCCTGTACTTATTAACCTAATTTGATCCGAAATTTTTTAAAGATAATTTCGATCATTAATAAATAAATTATGCGATTATTAATAAATAAATTATGAATCTGTAAGCTCCTATTTATTGTAAATTGATTTTTGAAGAAATAAAAGGTAAAAATAAATATGCAAAAAAATATTTAGAATTACTTTTCGATACATTGAGTGAAAAATTATAGAGGCAACAACAAAATAAAATCAAAAGAAACTTAGGTAAAAATAAATTTATCGACTTCAAATGATTTGATTACTGCTGTTA